CAAAAGCGTATATTTGATTTGATTTTACAAACGGTATATAACTTAGGTTTGAACAAAAAGAACATACAATGTTCGGTTTTCAAATAGACTTTGACAATAGAACGAATATACTAAATTTAATTACCAAAATATATATAACTCAGCTATACATGAAATGAAACCATGAGCACTCCCAAAATATGAACCAAAAGTCAAACGTTGGTGACGTACACTAATAACAAATAGTATATTTACGAAGGTGATTTGATTATCATTAACGAATAGAGCTTATAAAGCTGTATAATTAACTAGACTAATAAATAAACGACTATATCTAATTAATCATCTTGCACATTTTATATCATATATATGACTTTGTTACAAACAAAATTCCAAATAAAATTTTAATAAAATTCAAATTGCATAGTTTAGTTTAGTTTTAGCAGTTTGTCTATTTGTTTTTTTTTTAAGAAACAAGTTTGTCCTTTGTTGTTTTTTTTTAACACTTTATGTTATTGAAATTGATTTAAAATAGTTTACATAATGGAAAGAAACTAATGGTCCTTTCCGCACCGAAAAATAAGTGAGAATAATAATCATTGACGACACATTAGTGATACTAATATGATCTTATTTCGAATCGAAAGTAGACAATTAGGTGTTTCCGAATCCACAATAGCAGCCAGACTTCCAAAATTTATTACGATAATATGATAACAATTCTCTGAACTTAGATAAATCTCCTCTTTTGATTGTCTTTGTCAATTTTGTTCCGAGTTAACTTCAATGAAACCGCCGTTGAATAAGTTTGAACTGCAAAACTTAAATCAAATATATATTCAAAATTGACTAGAAACTAAACATAGATATTCTACGAGAGAAAAAACCTCAACTAAAATTTTTTCTAATAAACTTAACCCAATCAAATGAACACAATAACTCATTAAATCCAAACGGCGAATAATATCGCATCGTCTTCTGACCAAATACTCCAGAACATCCTCTAAACTTCATGTCGAGCGTAGAAACTATTAGTTTACAACTTTCTTCCTCTCACGATGCCGGCAAAAACATCGGACATGGAGAGAAAATAAACTCAAATCA